GTTTTGGTTTTGATCTGTGCCAGGAGAGGGATTACAAATACTTGATGAAGTGGGGAGGCAGCGTGACATAGTGGTCACTGACACATATGGGCTGTGTGGCCTTGGGCAGAGTGGATGAGGCAGTGGACATGGGGTTAAGAAGATCTGGGTTTGAGTGTTGCCTCTGACATTTGCTAGCTGTGACCCTGAGCAAGTCACATAATTGCTCTGTGTCTCAGTTTCCTCATCTGTAAAATGAAAGGGTTAGACTTGGTGACCTCTGAGGGCCCCTTCTGGCTCCTTATCTATGATTGTATAATAATATTAGATTTTTGGGCTGCTGCATCACATTGTCGGTTCTCTCTCTCCCTCCCTTCCTCTCTCTCTCTCTCTCTGAACTGTTGTCTAGCTGTTCTCCCCTATCTTTACTTGTTCAATCGATTTTTTTAAACCGAGGGCAGGACCTAACATTTACCTCCATTTAATTTCCTCTTATTTAATTTGGCTCACCATTCCAGTCCGTCTTGATTCATCATTCCATTTTAGATTCAATTTACGTCATCCAAAATGTTCGTCACCCCCTTCTGCCCCACCCCCCACCCCAGTTTTTTGTCATTCACAAATGTGATAGGCGTACTAGGTCTTTATCTAAGTCCAAGGTCAGAGTACTCCATTAGAGTTCTTCCTATAGATAGATGGACGTTGATTCTTTAATCACCACTCAACCAGCCCACCGATGAGCCAGGGTGGTCCTTTAAAGGATCCGTCCCTGAGAAGTGGATTGAGGCCTAGGCTGAGATCTGGAACTGGAAAGGACCTTGAAGGCCTTCCAGTCCAATCCACTTATTTTACAGGTGAGGAAACTGAGGCCCAGGAGGTTGAGTGACTTGTTCAAGGTCACACAGGTAGTAACTGAAAGATTTAGCATTTGATCTTTGGTCTTAGGGGTCCAAGTTCAGCACTCTTCCCATTGCCTCATGCTTCCTCTCCACCCCCAGCCCCAACCTGCTTTATAAGGTTATTGTAAGCTGCAGTGGGAAAATGGGCATTAAAGTGCTTTAGAATAGTCACAGACACTACAGAAGGGAAGGAGCTTAGTCATTGGGCAATGGGTTGGATCAGGTCGTTTCCAACTCTAAAATTCCATGATTGTCTTAGGTCAGTTGCCTTGCAATTGAGGCTGGGGGGTCCTGAAGGGAGCCAGCTGGGCTGACTGCAGATGTGGGAGGTTCAAGGGTCTCTTGGGATCTGTAGTGGGGCATTACCTGAGAGTGTCTGGACTGAGATGGCGGAGTGGAAATTTGAGACCCTTGAGCTGAGCTGCTGGGGCGGGTAGCCGGCCTAGAATGGTCCTGATCAGGTTGTGGGTATGGGCTACATCTGGAGATCCCCCAGCCCTGCCTGCATCAAACTATTGGGTGGCCTGTTATTGTTTGTGTGATTGTACAAAAGCGTAGAGACTTTTGAGTGTGTATTTTGGGCACATGTAAGTGTTTGTATGTGAAAGTGTGTGTAGGAGACCTCATGCCTGAGTAGATGTGAGAATATGTGTGCAGGGGCACGTAGGATGTGTGTGCCTGAGTGTGACTATTTCTCTGGGTGTTGCTGTGGGTCAGTGTATTTGTAGGGCTATGAGCATGTGAGTGTGGGTGTGCAAGACTTTGGGGGGAGGATTTTTGGGGGGCTGACTGAGTGTACTACTCTGTCAATGTGTAGGAGGGGTCAGTATTCTTTCTTGAGAGAAAGAGAGACAGAGACAGAGAGAGACCCCTAACCACCCGCTCCTCCCTGATGCCCCTTTCCCCTAGCCAGGTCCTCTGCCCCCATCTCTTCCCCTCTCAGCGGGGGCCTGGCCAGGCCCCTTTGCCCCATCCTCGTCATTCACATGACTTCTGTTCTCTGTTTGCACGCTGCCCAGGAGGGACTACTATTCCTACTCTTATTACCCGTAAGTAACCTGGCCCGGCCCTGGCCGTCTGTGTCCTCAGTGTCTCCCATTCTTCCTTGGACCAGCCCGTCTCCATTTACCAGCCCTTCTCCATCTCCTTGCCTCCAATCATGCTGCTTCCCCCCACCTCCTTCTGTTTCTTTCCATCTCTGACTTTGTCTTGCTTCCTGCTGCTGTTTCTATAGCCCTCCCTGTCTCTGTCTTTCTGTCTTTTTTTTTTTTTTGAGTTCAGAGCAAAGAGATTTACTAAGAGGACAGAGTAAGAACGTTACCTACAAAACATCTCCCCACCACAAACCCGGCACACGCTGTCGCACAAATACACATGGTCTCAGTAGGATGAGCAGGCACAAACTTAGAGCTCTGTCTCTGTCTTCCTTTTCCTCCCTCCCTTCACCCCTCTTTCTCCCTCTTCTTTCTCTCTCCTTCTATCCCTCCCCCTCCCCTTTCTCTTTCCCTTCTCCCCTCCCCCTTTCTGTCTCTCCCTCTCTCCCTTCTCTTTTTCTCTCTTCCTCCTCCTCTCCTTTTCTCTTCCTCCCTTTCTCTTTCTCTACCTCTTTCCCTCCCCTTCCCTCTTTCTGTCTCTCTTTCCCTTCCCTCCCCCTTTCTCTTTCCCTCTTCCTTTTTCTCCCTCCCCTCCCCCTTTCTGTCTCTTTCTCTCTCCCCTCCCATTTTCTGTCTCATTTTCTCTCTCTCCTTCTCCCCCTCCCTTTCCCTCTTTCTGTCTCTCTTTCTCTCCCCCTTTCTGTCTCATTTTCTCTTTCTCTCTCTCCCCTCTCGCCTCTTTCTCTTCCTCCCTCCCTTTCTGTCTCTCTTTCTCTCCTTCCCCTCCCCCTTTTCCCTCTCCCTGTCTCTCTCTCCCCCTTTCTGTCTCTCTCTCCTTCCTCTCCCCCCTTTTCCCTTTCCCTGTCTTTCTGTCTCTCTTTGTCTTCCTCTAGTTCCCATCTCTCTCATTTGTTTCCTCCATCTCTACACCCTTTCTCTCTCTCTGTCCTCGTCCTTGCTTCTCTGTCCTTTTTTTTGAGTCTCTTTTGTCCTCTTGGTTCCCATCTCGATTTCTGTTGCCTTCCTTATTTCTCTCTGTGTCTTTGTCTACCTTTGTGTCTTTATATCCCTTTATGGCTTTATGTGAGCACTGATTTTAGAGCCAGAGGACCTGGGTTCAAATACCAGCTCTGTCATTTAAGACCCAGGTAACCTTGGGCAAGGCAAAATCAGAGAATGGATAAATAGATTTCTTTTGGCTGGAAACAGCTCAATATAGGAGAGACTTTTCTCACAATTGACTATTCCACAGTGGAATCACTGCCTTTGAAGGTAGTGAGCTCCTTGTTTCTGGGAGCATTCAAGGAAAGACTGGATGATCCCTCTGTCAGAGATGTTGTAGGTTGGGTGTTGGTTAAGAAGTTGGATGAAATGGTCTCTGAATTCCCTCCCAACTCTGACTCTGTGATTCTAAGTGTGTATGTCCCTTTGTGGGATGGACCATTCACATGTCATCTAGTACCTTCCCTATCCCTGGGGAGGTATTTGACCCAGGGCAGGCAGGCAGGAGATTGGAGGGGATTCTAGTATCTCATGCTCCTTATGACCAAGAAATTGTGCCTTCTCTCTAACTTGTATCTTTTCTCCTGTGAGGGCAGCCCTTTCTTGTACCTGACTTATTTGTGGAACTAGGAAACAGACCTGCTCCTTCAAACCATCCTTCAGAGGCTTACCTGTCTTTTCTCAACCTTATCTTCTCCAATATGAGTAGTCCCAATTCTCTCCTACTCCCTTCTGACACCAGAAAAGCATGTCTCCTCCTTACCCTGATTATTCTAATTCCTGTATGAATCTTCTTTTCCCTGTTCCTTCCCCTTTCCCCATCCAAGGAATGTGAATTGAAAGCCTGGCAATCAGAAATAAGGACTGACATTTTACCTTCATCCCATTCCCTGACCACCATGACCTCTTTCCAAGCCAGAGTCAGGCAGTGAGTTCAAGGTGGTAGGGCAGTGCTGCAGGCCATATCATGTGCAAGGCATTGGTGTGAGGTTGTAACCCAGGCTAGGTGGCTCAGGGGTTAGCATGGTGCCCAGGAGGAGGAGATTGGGGTTTGATACTAACATGGACCAGTTAATTCACTTCAGTCCTATCACCTGCTGGATAATGGGTATTGGGGATATGAGACTGACATGAGACAAAATCCTTGTCCTGAAGGAATTTATAATCTCATCAGCTTCACACAGAGTAGCCTATATATGTAGGGTTAAGAGTCACAAGAAATGCAGTGTGAATGAGCAGGAGCCTATCCCCACTGTCAGAGATAAGACCTGAAGAGTGACTGTGGGGAGAGCTGGGAGTGCCCCTGTGGGGGATGTCTTGGGGAAATTTGAGGTCTGTGAGATTCCTTGGAGCCACAGAAGAGAAGAATTGGGGAAATGGCTCACAGGGTTGGGATGATAACCTTGTTTGTACACTGAGGTCTGTCACTGGTTGGAATGAACCAATCTGACCACCTAAACCCTGGGAATCAGCATGGTCTAGGATTATACCCTTCCTGATATGGGACATTCTCTTTGGAACCAGCAGGGTCTGTCCTCTAGGGGGCCAGGCAGTGGGGCAGGGTGTCCAAAGTCTCCCCAAGGAGAGCCTCACTATGGCAGGTTCTTTCTCACATTCCTTTGTGGCTTAAGTCTTCCTGCCCTTCAAGGCAGAAACTTTCTAGGATATAGAATAGGACAGTGGAAAGCATGCTTCTGGGCCTCAGTTTCCTCATCTGTGAAACGATTGGGTTGGACTAGATGGCCTCTTCCTTTAAGCTCTAAACCTATGATTCTGTATACAGTTAGAGGCCATAGTTGCTGGGGAGGAGGAAGAGGGTGAAGTCTGTGGTTCCACCAGATGGGTTCAGGGGCTTTCTAGGCTTTTTTCTTCTTCCCTGACTCCACTTCCAGCCCTCAGTACTCTAGCTCACCCCCTAGGAAGGTCCTGTGCCCATTCTCTCTGGATGACTCTCAGACTGGTGTATAGTTCTTGCTGGTAAGTCTAGCTCAGTACTCACCACTCTTTCCTCTTCCATGTACCACAGGAAGCCGGTCAACATGGCCAAGGCCACCATCAACTACCGCCATGAGAAGACCCACATGATGAGTGCTGTGGACCGCAGCTTCACAGATCAGAGCACGCTACAAGAGGACGAGCGCCTAGGCCTCTCCTTCATGGATGCCCATAGCTACAGTACTCGGGGTAAGTGGTGGGCAGCTAGGTAGAGGGTTCTCTCCTTGGCACTGTGATGAATACTTTCTTATTCAGCCTTTGAAGCCTATGTATTCCTCTACTCTCACCGAGCTGGACCTCCCTGCTCACTGGCCAGTATCTGCTTCTCAGCTAGCCAAGTCCATAGCCAAGAGGTCAGGCCACAGGGAATAGAGTGGGGCCTGAGGTCCCGTCTACTCCTCCCAGAGAAATCACGAGGAGAGCAGGGCCCTCTGGTCAGTCGACAACTGAGTTAAAAGAGACCTAGGCTTAGAGCCAGAGGATCTGGGTTCAATTACTGCCCCTGATGTTTACTATCTTCGTGACCTTGGTCAAGTCACCTACCTGCAGGATTTCAGTTTCCTCATCTGTAAAATGAGGGGGTTGGACATGGTGATCTTGAAGATGTCTTACAGCTTGAAATCTTATAATTTTTTATTCAGTTAAATGGGATTTTGCTATTTTAGTACATATGTAAAAAAGAGGATGGAGGCTGAGGATGATTCTTATCCAAAAGCAATGATCTTTGGTCCAGAAAAGACAAGACAAAAATGGCTAATAGAGAACCCAGGGTAAGCAGGAATATAGAAAGAAAGCATCTATACCCTTAATGAGTTTAAGTAACCAGGACTAGATGGTCTACACCCCAGAGTAGTGAAAAAATTGTTCTAGCTCTGACATTCTCTGTTCTAAGGCCCCTCCCAGCTCTGACATCTTGTGTTCTAAGGTCCCAGCCCTGACATTCTATGTTCTAAAGGTCCTCCCAGCTCTGACATCCTGTGTTCTAAAGGTCCTCTCAGCTCTGACATTCTCTGTTTTAAAGCCCCTCTCAGCTCTGACATTCTATATTCTAAGGCCCTGTTCAATTCCGACATTCAGTGTCGTAAAGTCTCTTAGAGCTGTGATGACATCCTTTGTTCAGTAGCATAGTAGGTTGAGCACTGGGCCTGGATTCAGGATGTCCCGAGTTCAAGTCTTGCCTCAGACATTTACTGTATGACCAAGGCAAGTCACTTGACCTCTGCTTGCCTCAGTTTGCTTGTGCTCATACCCAGCAGACTCTCCTTAGCCTGCTTCATGTGACTGTCCTCTTGGTGAGGCTCTCTGTGCCTTCCTCCCTTCTCTGGCTGGTCCCTTCTGCAGCCGGAAGGTCTGCCCGAGCTGCAGCTCTGACGAGCGTCCCAGATGCTTCTGTCTCTCACGTGTCCCACATGCAGAGCTGTCCTGATTCCCCTGAACCCACAGAAGCGCTTCCCTTTAATTCAGTCTCTCTCACCCCTCTTCCTCTTCCGAATGATGGAGGCCTTTGGGCCATGCTCATTCTTTTTCTAATTGTAGCTTTTGACTTTCAGGCCTAATGTTGAAGTTCCTAAAAATGGAGCAAAGAAGAGCCCTCTCACTCTTGTCCATTGTTTCCTGCTATCCAAGAAGCTATGCTGCTTAGAACCTTAGCACACAGGGTGTCACAGCTGGGAGGGGCCTCAGAACACAGAATGTCAGAGCTGGGAGAAGCCTCAGAACACAGAATGTCAGAGCTAGGAAAAGCCTTAGAACACAGGGTGTCAGAGCTGGGAGAAGCCTTAGAATACAGAATGTCAGAGCTGTTAGGGCCCTTAGCACACAGGGTGTCACAGCTGGGAGGGCCCTCAGAACACAGAATGTCAGAGCTAGGAGAAGCCTTAGAACACAGAATATCAGAGCTAGGAGAAGCCTTAGAACACAGAATGTCAGAGCTAGGAGAAGCCTTAGAACACAGAATGTCAGAGCTAGGAGAAGCCTTAGAACACAGAATGTCAGAGCTAGGAGAAGCTTTAGAACATAGGATGTCAGAGCTGGCAGGGCCTTTAGAACACAGAGTATCAGAGCTGGGAGTGACCTTAAAACATAAAACGTCAGAGTTAGAACAGTCCTTGGAACATGGAATGTGAGACTGGGAGAGACCTTAGAACATAGAATGTGAGAACTGTGAGGTCACGTGGCCTGGAAGCTACAGGTTCCCCACCTCTGAATAGAATATCAAATCTGCAACAGACCTTAGAATATAGAATGTTAGTGATAAAAGGATCCTTAGAACCAGAGTTTCAGAGTTGGAAGGGGCCATAGAATGAATAATTGAGTCATCACCAAAAGAGACACATGGGCTTGTTCCAGAGCTGCTGGACACTGTCCAGATCAAAGAGGGTGGAATTAGCAGTAATAATAAAAACAGCTTATTCTCATACAACCACAGACTTATAACCAGAAGGGACCAACTCTATATACGATGCTTTAAGTTTGGCAATGTAATTTCTCTATGTTAGCTCAATGGATTCTTTCAGCAGTCCCCTAAAGTGGGTGTTATTATGATTCCCCTTTTAACATATGAGGAAACTGAGGCAGAGGGGTTTGAGTGATTTCCCCAGGGCCGTCTAGGCAGCAAGTATGTACAGTAAGATTCCACCCTGGGTCATCCTGACTCCAGGTTCCATGCTTCATTCATTATGGTTGTGGTCAAAGCAGATTCAAACTCTGTATGAGGGAATGTTTCTTTACCATCATCAGAATTATGCAAAAGTGAACTAGGTCTCTTTGGGAGGCAGTGAGTTCCCCATCACTGGGGGTCTTTAAGTGGAGGTCCTTCTTCGGAAACTGCAGAGGAGATTCCAGTTTGGACCAGCTGACTTCTGGGATCTCTTCTAGCTCAGAGTTTCTCTGATTCTGTGAATCCAGGTTTCCTAATTCCTGATCCAGTGGATTTTCTACTGTCACCCAAGGCTTCCCTTGCACAGCTGGCCTTCCCTCCTATGGGGTGGAAGGGCTAAAAAGAGGGGTTCCTCATCTGATCCTGGCTGTGTAACTTATTAGCCGTATTGACCTTGGACAGGTCTTTTTTCCCTGTGAGCCTTGGTTTCCTTCTCTGCCCAGTGGGCATAATAATCCTGGTCCCACGACAGCCTATGGTTGGGGGGAGGAAAGTGCTGGGGAGCAGGAGCTGCCTTCAGGCTTTCCTCTTGTCCCAGAGGAAAGGAAAGGTTTGTTCAGGTCCCCTAAGCTTCTGCAGCCACTTGAGCCTTGGTGGGCATCACAAAGGGCACCGCTCTTTGGGCATACCCTGGTGGGCAGGCAGGGTTGGTGGGGGACCCCTCCCCAGAGGGGTGTGGGGGCCAGAGTTGTGCGAGGGTTCACTACACTTGAATCAGGAGGGGAGTGTGGGGGGTGGGACTTGCTGGGCCTGAGGGTGATTGGAGCTGAGAGCAGCAAAGGTTTACAATGGAAAATGCCAACGCAAAAGAAATCCCTCTATTCAGCTCCTTTCCTAATCCGTGGCAGCGGCAGCCATGGCTGGTGGCAGCGGCAGCTGTTTTCAGGATTTTCTTCTCTCTGAATGGGGGGTAATTGCTGGGAGTTGCCAAATGTTCCAGATTGTTCCCCAGGAGAGAGGGAGGGAGGGTGCTGAGATTGCCTTGTTCTCCTGGCTCTGCTGGGGACGGGGCAGAAGGGTGGAGGTGGAGGAAAAAGTGTGTGTGGGGGAATCAAGGTGATTTTCTGAAGAATTCCAAGCCTGAGCCCCCTGTCACACAGAGTGACAGGGTCCAGAGCCCTGACAGGAGAGGAGGGAAGGAATTAGGTTTTCATGGAATATAAGAGTTTCAGAACATAGACTGTCAGAACAGAGAATGTCAGAGCAGGAAAAAAGCTTTAGAACTAGAATGTCAGAGCTCTAGGAACCTTAGAACAGACAATGCAGGGCTGAGAAAGACCTTAGACCATATGGAAGAGCTGGGATGACCCTTAGAACATAGAATGTCAGAGCTGGGAGGAAACTTAGAGCACAGAATGTCAGAGCTGGGAGGAGCCTTAGAACATAGAATGTCAGAGCTGGGAGGGGCCTTAGAGCACAGAATGTTGGAGCTGGGAGGAGCCTTAGGACACAGAATGTCAGAACTTGGAGGAGCCTTAGAAAATAGAATGTTAGAGCTGAGAGGGAACTTAGAACACATTGCTAGGGCTGGGAGGATTCTTGGAACATAGAATATCTGAGCGGGCAGTACCTGAAGACCCAGAATGTTTAGGTTGGGAGGGGTCTTAGAATGTTGAGTATAAAGGCTGTGAGGGCCCTTAGAATGGAGAAGGAAAGGTTTGGGAGGGGCCTCAGAGCTGAGCCAGCATGGGGCAGAGAAGGGAGTCCTGGCAGTGGGGTCAGAGGATTTGGGTTTGAATCCTCTCTCTGTCACCTCCTATCTGTTTGTCCTTAGTCAAATTCCTTCACCTCCCTGGGCCTCAGCATCCTCATCCCTAAAGTAAGAGGGTCGGACAAGAGCAGTGGGCAACGTTATTGTCTTAAACGACCCCACATTAACATCCATGTGCAATTGTGGTTTTTACTTATTTAGTTCAGCATTTCCCAATTATCTTTTAATCTGGTTCAGGCATTCCAGTCACTGTGGGCCACGAATCTGGCCCCTCTGGACTGAGAGACCTCTGCAGGCCATTCCAGGCCTACATCCAGGATGCTCCAAGGGCCTCCCTCCCTTACCTGTGTCTCTCTCCCCCTTGCCAGGGGACCAGCGAAGCAGCGTGGTCAATGAGTCGAGCAGCCTGCTGGGAGGCTCCCCCCGGCGTCCCTGTGGCCGGAAGGGCTCCCCGTACCACACAGGACAGATGCACCCGGCTGTTCGAGTGGCTGATTTGCTGCAGCACATCAACCAGATGAAGACAGCCGAGGGTTATGGCTTCAAGCAGGAGTATGAAGTAAGAGCTCCCTGGGGTGGGAATAATAATAATAATTATAACATATATTTATAGCTCTTTAAGGTTTGCAAAGAGCTTTACAAATATTACCTTATTTGATCCTTGCAACCCTGGGAAGTAGGTGCTATAATTATCCTCATTTTATATATGAAAAAACTGAGGCAAACAGGTTAAGTGACTTGCCCAGGGTCACACATCTGCTAAGTGTCTACATTTGAATTCAGGTCTTTCTGACTCTGAGCTCAGCACTCTATCCACTATTCTATGCTGTCTCTGAGTCCAATGAGAATCACAGAGACTTTGGAGTCAGAGAAGACCTGGGTGTGAATTCTGGCTCTGCTGTTTATAGCCCATGTAACCTTGGGTAGATCCCTTAACATCCCTCTAAAACTGAGGGACCTGGGCTATAAGATCACTTATAAATCCTATGATCTTTACCCTGCCTCAGTCCTGACCTGAACCCTGAGTCTGACCCCATCTGTAGCCTCCACTCTGATTCTAATCTTTCATTTCTGATTTTGACTCTCTCCCTGAACTCTGACCTTGATGCAGGCCCTAACTGACCATCACCTGAACTTTGACCCTGTCCCTGACTCCAATCCTTAATGCTGACTCTAATCTAAATTGAGGCTTTGATTTGGTCAGCTCCTGATGATAATCCAAGGCTAGCTATCTGCCCCTTCACTTCCCACACCCCCTTTTTTTCTGGATATTCTGGCCTGGTAGAACAGGCATCTCAGGATTTGGCCCCCAGAGATTGTCCATGAAAGTGTCTCTGTTGCTCTATGAATACCCATAGTCCAAGCAGGCCACGGGTACAGCAGGCTTCTCCATTAGTCTGTGGCTAGAGCTCCTTTCTGGAGCGTGCCAATGCTCGGTGAACATCCCTTTCATCTGCGGGGGTCCCCCAAGCATTTTGTGGGGGAGCATGGCAGGCTCAGGATCCCATATTTCTCGGTGCTTTTCTCCCTTGCCTCATTCTGGGGTTTTAGCCTGAGGGCTATGGAAAAGGAAGAGGAAGCAGCATTTCTGGAAACAGGTTTGATGTAGAGGCAAGAGCCACAGGGCTTGGAGTCAGAGGACCTGAGTTCAGATCCTGACTCCATCACCTCCGTGACTATGGGCATGTTGCTTCACGTCTCTTAGGCTCAGTTTCCTCTTCTATACAAAGGGGTTGAACTAGAGAGCTGTAGCCCCCCACTCCATTCTCATTGTCTGTATTTTCTATAGAGCTTCTTTGAAGGCTGGGATGCCAGCAAGAAGAAGGACAAGACCAAGAGCAGAACGGAACCCATCCCCCCTTGTGAGTGCAGAGATGAGGGAGGCAGGAATTATCCTCTGTCCCAGACACTGGGACGGTGGGAGGTGACTGCTGGGCTGCTTGACCCAGGCCCTGGGGCTGTTCATGGCATGGAGGGAGGGGGTACTGAGAGAGCCCTCTGCTAGGCTTTCGGTCCAATCCAATTCAGCCCATTCAGTAAGCCTGGCAGGAAGGTTTGGAATGTTGGCATAGCAGCTGGGCACAGAGCTGCCTTTCCCCTGGGATCCACAGAATTCCCACCTCCCCCCTTGTGGAGTTCCCTCAGTCCTGAATTCTTTTCCATCCCAATCTCCCCTCGGGCCCCTAGTCCAGCACCACCCCCTGCTCCTTTCCCCCTAATGTTCCATAGCTCCCATACCTCATGTTAAGCTCCCCCATCTCCCAAAGTGTTCCCCTGCTTCTCCCTCCTCCAGTGTACTCCTCATCCCCTCTTTTTAGTGTCCCCTAACTTCAGCCCCCAGTCTCCATCTTCCTCTCTTCATTGTCCCCCCCTAGATGATAGCTCACCCCTCCCCCATACCTCTGGTCTCCTACTTTTCTAACTCCCATTATGTATCAGATTGGGTAACCCTGCCTGTAAAAAGAGCATGATTTCCCCCCAAGCTGTCGGGGTGGGGTTGGGGGTGCTACACCACCAAGTAAAAACTCTCTTAGTTCTCCGTCCATAATAGCCCATTCCACTGTCCTCAAACTCCACGCGCCTGGCTGGGCCCATGGGGCTGCTCAGCCTTTACGATGCAGCCCCCGCTCTGGATTTGCAGACGATCGGCACCGAGTGAAGCTGCATCCGCTTCTGGGAGACCCCAACGCAGACTACATCAATGCCAACTACATCGATGTGAGTGCACCCTGAGAAACCTCCCTCAGCCGCCCTTCCCCTGCCCCTCCCCTCACACAGTCAGGCACCGAACACGTGCTGAGCACCCGCAGGTAGGCTAGCCCCTGGGCTGACTGCCATGGGGGATATGGAGGGGCACGAGGTCTACTCCCTGCCTTGTGAAGCGCCTGTTCTAGCAGGGGAAAACAATTACTAATCAACACCAGAAGGCGCCTTAGGAAATTCATCAGGTAGTATTTCAGGAGCTCAGAGGAGGGAGCTATCTGTGTAGAGTGGGATAGTTAAAGAAGGCCAATGGTTTGGGCTAGGAGGAGAGGACACACGGAGCCAGAAATCAGCTTGGTCGTTCTAGCAGAACATTGGCTACTTGAAGGCAGGAGTTTTCTTTTTCTGTCTTTGTACCCTGAGCATCTAGCATATTGCCAGATACACAATAGTCATTTAAGAAATGGTTGTTGAGTTTGATTCAGTTGGGTTCTCAGGACTGGGAGGAGATAGATCTGACCAGAGAAGAGAGGGTTCGTGTGAGCTCCTGACCCCTCTGTATAGGAGTGGCCAGGGAAGTCAGGGAATGGGCATCTTCTCCTGAGGTACCATAGAAAAAAGGAACCAGAGTGAGGGAAATGGGCACAGCCAGTGTGATGTTGGCAGGGAAAAAGCCCGACTTAGAAGGGACACGTGGATGTGGTCAGTCCGGAGGGGCTGGGAGCTAGGTGGGGCAGAGCAGAGGAGAGAGGTATTCTTACTAACCCCAGTGGAACCTCAGAGGGGGAGAATACTGTGTCACCCTCGAGTTAATCTAGCTGTCTCTGACCAGTCATATTGCAGAAAAGGCAATAGCTTTATTAGGGGGGAAAGAGAGGGGAACAAAGAGGAAAGGAAATGATCTGAGGTCTTAGTTCAATTCAACAAGTATTGACAGGGCACCTACATGTGCCCAGTCCTGTGCCAGGGGGTTTGGAGGAGACTAAAAAGGAGAAGGCATCATCTCTGTCCTGGGGGTGCTCAGAGAGTCTGGTTGGGAAGAAAGGATTTATGCTTGTGAAAGATATAGATTCTAAACATCATTTGCCACTTGAGGGGATGGAACAGAGGGTAAGTGTTGTGAGGGTGCATACCATTTGTGTAGTCAGGGATGTCCTCTTGGAGGAGGTGGGGTTTGATGTGTCCCTGAAGGGTTTGGCTAGATGGAGGGGAAGGCATTCCAGGCAGGCCCACAGCGTGAGCAAAGGTGTGAAGACAGGAACAAGCCTCTCACCTCACTCCTCCTCTTCTCCTGGGGGGCCTGATGCTTTCATTCTCCATTCTTGGCCTTTCCCTGTCCTGTTTTCCCTGTATCATTTCCTTCTTTTTCTCCCACTCCCAGGACCCCCAGATTTTGGTAGGGCAACCTCCCCTCTTCCCCTCTCCCCCTTTTTCCTTCCTGGTCCCCTCCCCTCTGCTACATCCATGTCCCACAAAGCCCCTTCCTGCTCCTGCCTCTGCCTCCCATGGCCATGCCCAGTGGGCTAATCTCCCTCTTTCTGGTCTCTTTGGCTTGGGCACCTGTCCTCTCACCGGAATCCTTAAGATTCGGATAAACCGAGAAGTAAGTATATCTTCTCTCTCTCTCTCTCTCTCTCTCTCTCTCTCTCTCTCTGTCTCTCTCTCTGTCTCTCTCTCTGTCTCTCTCTCTCTCTGTCTCTCTCTCTCTGTCTCTCTGTCTCTCTTTCTCTCACATGCACTGTCTGAGTCTCTTTCTATCTTCCTTCCCTTCCTCCTGTCCCCCAGCGCTGACTGCCCCCATCTCAGTGCTTGGGTCAGACCTTGGTGATCTCTGAGTCACTGTTCACTCTTCTCACTGAAAGCCAAACCATTCACCCATCGGCTGCTTTCTACTTTGTTGCTCTGAGCAAAACACTGGGGAGGGTAGGAGGCTGGAGAGTGTGGAGGGGACAGTCTTCCTAATGGACATCAGGCAAGGCCAGACCCTGGGCTATTTAGCCCTCTGTCCTCTTAAACCAGCCTCCGCCTTCTCTGCCAGTAGCCCTGAATGCCCTCCACCTTATGGTCAAATCCATCTCTGCCCCCAGGTCCTCCTTGTGGCTCGATGTGGGGAGTCCACTGGACTAGATGACCATTAGATTCAGAAGCAGGGGACTTGAGTTCTGGTTCTCACCCTGCTGGCTGTGTGACTTTGGACAAGTCACTTTCCTTTTCTGAACTGCAGTTTTCTTAGCTATAAAATGAGAGGTTTGGATGAGACAGTTGTCAGAGGTTCCTTTCAGTTCTGACATTCCACAGTTCTGTATACATCCACAGGGCGTCCCCGAAGTTTTGTGTGATGCCAGGTTTGAAACTGCACTAAGACTTTTGGGACACCTGGTATAGGGCAGTGGTGTCAAATTCAAATAGAAATGGGGAGGGGGCACCACTAAACTTACATAAGAATCCCTGTGGGCCACACATTGACTTAAAAATCCCCAGATCAACAGTATCTAAGTTCTATTGTATTTTCACTTATTTTGTTAAATATCTCCCAGTTGCATTTTAATCTGGTTCTGGAGTATTGTGGGCAGCCTGTTGGACTCTTCTGGTGTAGGGAACTCCCAGATGAGGAAGCTCCTTCAAGGGAGGGAGTGGTTTTGCCGCTTGCTGGTTGAGCGTTGTCTGGGCCAGTGAGAAGTTAAGTGATTGATTTGTCTGGGGTCACTTAGCCAGTATGTGGTAGAGGGGAGTCTCATATCCAGGGGACTGGCTCTCTTCCCTACCATATGTTGCTGCCTCTCTGGTTAAATAGAGATGCATCTCCTCTGCATGGCTATGCCTCTGACCTCTGGTGGATTAAGAACTGTTGGGAAGGGAGGGCAGGAACTGGCCAGGGGGAGCTTGGCTATTGCTCAGGACCAGTGAGAGGGGCCAGCCACTAGCAGGACAAGAGGAAAAGGACTTGATTTGCAATGGGTGGGAACTAGATTAGATATCGGTAAGACCTTCCTCACTGGGGTGGTTGTAAGACTGGGATATTATCACTGAAGGAGGTTTCTTGGGCAGCTTATCAGAACAGGTTCAGGAGTGGTCTGGGAAGGGTTGGACACTGACATCCCTAGAGCCAGGGTATGATGGAACTTTAGGGTGGAGGTGCCCCTGCCTCTCCCTGCAGTGATGAAGAGATTTCTGTTGTGGGTTGGAGGACACACGGTTTAGAAGGACATCCCTGTGGCTTCTGCTTCTGGCTGTAGAGTCACTGACCCTGTCTCCAAGGCAGGACTGGGGCAAGGTTCTGTGAGGCTTGGGCTAGATTGACCCCTGGATGAATATGGGCTCATCCTGGGTCAGAGAGATGGGGGAAAAGGGTTTGGGGCCCCGGGGAACTAGAGGTTTGTCCTTTGGGAATTCAGAATGTTTGGGGACATCTTGTTCTAGGGGCCATCCTGACTAGATGACCCCGGTGGCTTCTTTGGGGTTGGGATCAGAATTGGTGTTCCCCTTGGTGGTCTGACAGTGTTTCCTTCTGTTCCAGGGCTACCACAGATCAAACCACTTCATAGCTACTCAAGGTACCCAGGCTCTCCTTTGGCTGTATCTCCCCTCCCCTCCCAGCTTCCCTCCCCTCCTCTCCCCTCCACTTCTCTCCCCTCCCCTTCTCTCCTCCTTCTCCTCTCCTCTTTCTTCCCTTCCTTGTCTTACCATCTTTCTTTCTGCCTCCCTCTCTCTTTGTTGTGTCTGTGAGTCCTCTCTCCCTCACCTTGCCATATGTGTATTCCCAGAACCTGGAGACCCCTGGCGGAGAGGCCCTCTCCTACCCCTCTGTCTCTGTCTTTCAGCAGCCTTTCCCCCACCGGGTGCTCCCACTGTGGGCTGCCATGGACCATCCTGTCAGTCACTCCTTGGGATATGAATTCTGCTAACCAGTCCTGGGCTTGGAGGGTGGGCTGGGTAGGTCAAGGGTCCCCTGGGGCAGCCTTCTGGGGCTAGGACTTTGGGTTTACAGGCCTGAGGGAGAAGGCCCAAGACCCATCATGTGCAGTCAGTGCCTCCAGGTTCCCAGCTCTCCTTGGGGCCTCCTTTCCATTCTTCCCTGCCCCCTCCCCCAGGACCCAGGCAGGAGATGGTGTATGACTTCTGGAGAATGGTGTGGCAGGAACATTGCTCCAGCATCGTCATGATCACCAAGCTGGTGGAAGTGGGACGGGTAAGGGGCCCCAGAGGCCAGGCAGGGCAGGGAGCCTGGGAGAAGGGAGAGGGAATGCAAGAAGGAGGCTTGGGAAGGGGAGGTGAAGATGACAGAGAGGAGGTGAGTTGGAGGTTAGGGAAAATATGCAGGTAATGGAAAGAGTGAACTTGGAGGCCCAGGACTTGAGTGTGAATCCTGCTTACTCTCTGTGTGACCTTGGATAAGTCACTTAAGCCCTATTAGCCTCAGTTTCTTCCATTGTAAAAAGAGGGATTTGGACCAGAGGACTTTTTCAGCTCTAGACCTAGGAGATAGCTGGTGTTGGACTTGGAGTCAGAAAGACCTGAGTTCAAAACCTGCCTCAGATACTTACCAACTTTGTGGCCCTTGTTAAGTTAGCTTCCTTGGCTGTAGAATGGGATATTGATATCATCGACCTTACACTGTTGTTGTGAGGATCAGTGAGATAATATTTGCAAAGTGCTTTGCAAACCCTCACGTGCTGTATAAATGCTAGCCATAATAATAATTATTATTATTCCAAGGCAAAGGGGAAAGAAATAGGAATGAAGGAGATTTGGGCCATGGCCCATCAAGGTCAGCTGAAGACACTGGGAATATTTATCCTGGAGAAGAGAAGCCTGGGTCAGGAGCCTGGGAGGGGAGACACGAGCATCATCATGTGTCAGAGCAATTAGACGTGTTCTGTCGGGCCCTAGAAAACAGAACTAGGAACCAGATGCGTTGAGTATTTGTTGGGGAGTAGTTTCAGAGAGGCCGTATTTAGGCTTGAGGTTGGGAAGATCCTAATAATTGGAGCCATCCAAAAATGGGATGGGAAGCAGAGAGTCTCCCAATGACCAAGATACCCACTTGTCTAGACAGCCTCTGTACCTTGACTCCATTGGGGTGGGGAAGGATGGTGGTGGGGATGGGCAGGGTTGAAGGGAAACTGGGTCTTGGAGAAGGTGAGGGGAATGAGGTCAGGGAGGCTGGGAAGGTGAAGGGCTGGAAGAGGGAAGGGGGTATCACGCCAGACCCTGTTGGTCTCTAGGTGAAGTGTTCCCGCTACTGGCCTGATGACTCAGAGACGTATGGAGACATCAAGGTCACTCTGGTGAAAACAGAGACCCTGGCAGAGTATGCAGTCCGTACTTTTACCATGGAGAGGGTGAGCTGGCGCCATTTGATCCTGCCTTTTGGGGAACTGGGGACCCAGCTTGGGGCAGGGGGATTGAAGGAAGGGACCAAGGCCCACCCCCTGGCAAAACTCATCCACTCCCCGCATTAGTGCCCAGGTTGCTGCCTTGGCCCTGGCAGTGCCCTCTCTGGAGTGCTCCTCTACCTTTGCCCTTCCTGGGAGCGCTGACGATAGTGGAGGATGGGGAGAGTTTAGCCGGGGTCATCAGGAAGAAACAGAAGGGGGAGGAGAAAGGTCTGTCCAACTCCAGCTCTTTCTTCTCCCCTCAGGCCCCAAATAATGGGTCATTAGAGCATTGATTCTATATGCATATCCATCCCCCCGCCTCTCTATTCTCTTTGTCACCCCCAAGCCCAGGCCCTCAGCCCCTCTCAAGTCTCTGATTGAAATGACTGCTAGATTTGTCTTTCTGCCTCTAATCTTTCTCTTTGTGTGCCCTGCAAACAAGACCTGATCCTTGATGTCAGAAATTTAGGCTCGAGCAAGGGGTCTTAAACCACGCTCTGTCACAACACTCTCTCCTAAAGAAAATTTTTGTTTTGATCATTATATTTCAGTGTAAGTGGTTTTTTTGGTAATCTGATATATATTATATATATATACACACATACATATACATATACATGCATATATACATACATACACATACATACATACATATAATACTTTTAAAAACATCATTCTGAGAAGTGGCCCATAGGCTCTGCCAGACTTCCCAAGGGGTCCAGGACATACGAACAGGTCAATAGTTTTTGGTCTTGTGGGTCATTCAGATGAGTTTACAAATAGCCACAGTATAAGGCAGTATATTATAAGGGTAATAAGAGGTCAAGACAAAATGTTAGCAGGGGAGCACTCACAGAGAAGGGAGAGATGGCATCCAGCAGAGGTGGAGAGGAGGTGGAATCAGGGAAGACTTCATGGAAGTGATGGCATTGGAATTGGACCTTGAAGATAGGCCTTTGAGGCTGGTTCTGGGGCAGAAAGCAGAGGTAGGTCCTGTGCTGAGCCATGTGCTTTCTCCATAGAGAGGCTACTCAGCCCGCCACGAGGTACAACAGTTCCATTTTACTGCGTGGCCAGAGCATGGCGTCCCTTACCATGCCACGGGGCTGCTGGCCTTCATCCGCCGTGTCAAGGCCTCCACTCCACCTGATGCTGGGCCCATCGTCATCCACTGCAGGTAGCAGCAGGTTTAGGCTGGGATACAGGGGTGGTGGGAAAGGGGCGCGGAGAGGTCAAGGATGAGGGAGACAAGAGAGCCCAGGTGATAGGACTGGTGGAATGTCCTAGAGAGACTAGTGTCCTAACAGTCCCTGGGGTCACCTGCTAGAGCTTCCTGCTAGATTATATGTGTGTATGAATACACACGCGTGTATGTGCACATATATGTATAAGTATGCATGTGCATGTGTATGCACATGTATGTTTGCATGTGTGTATAAGTGCATTTGTGTATGTGTGATATTGCTTGGAGACAAGGTGATGGTAAGCTTCATGAAGGCAAGCATGGTTTTGCTTTTGTTTTTGTGTCCCCAGTGCAAAGAATAGGGTCTTACATAGAGTAGGTACTTAGTAATGCTTGCTGGTGGTGGTGGTGACCTCTAGGGAAACTCATGCCTTTTATCCTTTGATTTCAATATTCTTTCCCAGAAGCCTTGGGACAATGGTCCTCTAGGCTGGCAGTAGAGAAGGGGGGGATTCTCAGAAGTGGAAGGTGGGGGATACTGGGAGGGGAGGGGGCCTGGCTAGGACTGGGTAGATGTGTCCCAATGACACACCCCGACTCCTTAACCCCATCACGGATGGGGCCACGGCCACTCCCCTCTCTTCCCAGCCCCAGGATGGCTACCTCCCTCCTCCCTCCCATTTCCAGTTCTCCTGCCAGTGGCCTGAGACAGGATGTGGCTGGCTATCTCCCCAGTGCAGGCACCGGCCGGACAGGCTGCTACATTGTTCTTGATGTGATGCTGGATATGGCTGAATGTGAGGGCGTTGTAGACATCTACAACTGTGTCAAGACACTTTGCTCTCGCCGAATCAACATGATCCAGACGGAGGTATGGTGTGATTGCGTGTGCTTGCGTGTGCGCAGGGGTGGGTGTCCTATTGCCCTGACCAGCATCCCCAAGGAATCCCACCAGGCCCTGCTCAGCAAGGGCCCTCAATGGCCTCCACCCTATGAAAGGTCTAGTCAGTGTATCAATAAGCAATTATTAAGCACTTACTGTGTGCCAGCCACTGTACTATATTCTGCAGACTCTAAAACAGAGCAATCCCTCCCCCAAAGAGCTCACCCATTGTCCTATCTCTCTCCATGTTTCTAAGCAGAATTATGGGACCTGCCCACGGTATGTTGGGTTGACCCAACCTAGAATAATGGAGAGGAGGCTGGGCAAGATTTAAACTCTCCTGTCCTACACCCTCTCCACCCTCCCTTAGGAACAGTATGTCTTCATCCATGATGCAATCCTGGAGGCCTGCCTGTGTGGGGAAACTACTATCCCTGTCAGTGAATTTAAGGCCACCTATAAAGAGATGATCCGAATTGATCCCCAGAGTAACTCCTCCCAGCTGAGGGATGAATTTCAGGTACATGGTATATGTGTGTGTGTGTGTGTGTGTGAGGTGGGCGGGGAAGGACCAATTAGGAATGAATGGATTGAGGCTGCCCAGGAAGGAATTATAAAACTAGACACTAGAAAGGTGTCCCGGTATCTAGACAGGGAAGCATTGGGGTTAGTGGTTTATGGAGGCTATGAGACCCCCTCATTTGGGAATCTTTAAGAAGAGGAGAGATAGTCCACCCCTCTGACTGCAGTCCCCCTTTCCCCACAATTCTGGGCTGGTTGGTACCTGAAATGGAAGTCAGATGAGCTGGATACCTCAGAAACCCCTTGTGATTCTGTAAGTGGGCCAGGAGGTAGCATTCAGGGCTTGGGGACACTCCCAGTTGGCTGTATCTCTGCAGTTGGGCATCTGCTTTGCCCCAAACCTGTTCCCATAGACTTCTGGGTTCCTTAACCCCCAAGGCAGCCTAGGTTATAGATTGTTATATAGTGGTGGGTATGAGCTGGGTGGGCTAAGATGGGAAGCGTGGGGTGGGGGATACTCAATGAGAGCTCTTCCTTCCATCTCTCCCAAAGAAAGGTTTTCTTTGAGTTTCCCTTCAGTAGGGGAAAGGGTCAGGTAATGTGTATTCTAGGCCTGGCTCTTCCATTAGGTTGCTTTGTGACTCTGGGTGAATCGTGCATCTGCTCTGATCCTCAATTTCCTCATTTGAAAAGGGGGGAGGAGAGGAAAGCATTCTGGAAGTTCTTTGGTTCAAACCCAAGGGAATGCTGGTTCAGTCCTTCCTTCTCTGCCCTCTTGCAGACCCTGAATTCAGTGACACCCCCATTAGATATGGAGGAATGTAGCATCGCCCTCCTTCCCAGGAACCGGGAGAAGAACAGGAGCATGGATGTCCTGCCCCCTGACCGCTGCTTGCCTTTCCTCATCTCCACCGATGGGGACCCCAACAACTACATCAATGCAGCTTTAACTGATGTAAGAAGACTGGGAGACACTGGGAGGGAAGGGGGGTGGTCCTAGGGCTTTTCTCTGAGCCGTCACCCTGGATTCCTGCAGTCTAGGCCCTGACCTTTCCTCTTTTTTTCTTTCACCTCTGAAGCTCTTGATTCTGCCCCTTTACCACATTTTCATCCCCTTCAACCGTCTGGGCATTTAGGGCAGAGTATGGATGGAGGCTGCTGTTGATGTGAAAATAATCTGGAGGTCTTAGTGGACTGCAAACTCAATATGAGTCAACAATATGACATAGCAGCCAAAAATGCTAACTCACACCTTTGCTCTGTGGTTTGTCTTTTTGTAAGAAACAACTAGGTGAATAGAATGCTGGGCCTGGAGTCAGGAAGATCTGAGTTCAAATCTGGACTCAGGCACTTATTAGCTGTGTAACTCTGGGCAAGTCACTTCACTGCTGTTTGTCTCAGTTTGCTCAACTGTAAAATGGAGATAGCATCTACCTCCCATGGTTGTTAGGAGGATAAAATGAGATAATATTGGGACAGTGTTTTGCAAATCTTAGCATATATAAATGCATGATGATGAGGATGAAGACGAGGATGTTGGACAACGAGGATGGTTTGCCCTGGTCTGGCCAAACATGGAGTATTGTGCCTTGTTTCAGGCATCCCATTTTAAGAAAGATGGTAATTAGCTAGCATATTTTTCAGAGAAGGGCAACTAGGGTGATCAGGTCGGATGAGCAACAGTTGGAGGGGCTGGGGAAAGGAGGAAAAGGTTTAGTGGGAACACAACAGCTGCCTTCACATATTTGAGGGGTGTCTCTCATTCTGCTTGGCTCCAGAAGGTAGAATTGGAAGAAACGTGGGTAAGGTTGAGAGAGATGGATATAGGCTACACACAAAGAAAACCTTCTTACCAATTACAAGTGTCCCAAAAGTCCAGCAAGTTATCTCTAAAGATGACGCATTCTCCTTCCCTGGTGGTTTTCTAGTAGAAGCATGTAGGAGACAGAAGCAAGAGTGGGTAACAGTGGATGAATGCCAAGCTCAGAATAGCGTCAGGAGGGCCAGGGTTTACAATGAGTTCAGGCTGGTGAAGAGAGCTCAAGGCAACAAAAAGGTGGTGCTTTGAATCTATATTGGGGAATTTTGCTTCTGTTTTCTCTGTCAAGGAGAAGGAGCTTTGGATTGGGAGGGGCTGGCTAACAGGGAATTGATGCCCAAGATAAGTAGCGAGATAATGAGTTCAAGAGTCCAAGCCTAGATAAACCAGGTTCTCACGTCCTGAAAGAACTGATTGGTGTAATTGCTAAGTGAGAGTTAGTGATTTTTGAAAGATCACAGGGAATGGGAGAGGAGCCCCAGGATTAGAGAAGGATAAATGCTGTCTCAGTGTTCAAAGAAGGGAAGAGAATGGAATCTACAAACTCTAAGCCAGTGAACTGAACTTTGATACTGGAAAAATTCTAGAGCACACAATAGTATGTTTGAGGGATGGTTCATGGACACCTAGAAAAGGAAGCAGTAGTTATCCATGATTACTGAGAGCCAGCATCGTTTCATCAAGAATGGGTCATGCCACACTTAACCTGTTTCTTTTATTTTAATGTGGTTGCTAGGCTGGTATATCAGGGAATGCTGAAGATAGAGTTAACATGTTTGACAATGATAATTGGACAAAAAAGCATTTGATAATGAGATGGAACTTCACAATGGAAATATCATGGGCTCTGGAGTCCAGAAGACCTGAATTCCAATTCTATCCCTGATAATTACTAGCTCCATTGATTCTGTCTGGTCACTTAAATTCTGTGAATTTCAGCTTCATATGTAGAAGGAGGGGTTTAGAATGTAGATCACCTCTGAGGTCCCTCCCAACTCTCAATCTGTAGTCCCATGTTCTTTCTTATGACTGTTGTGGAAGAGGTTGAGAAATGTGCAATTAGATGTATTCAGAACTGGTTAAGTGACTGGACTAAAAGAATGTCATTCATGGTTCTAGGTCAGCTTGTAAGCTTCCACTAGAGTGCCTGCTTCGCGTTATACTGTTGAACATTTTTATCAGTGACTTGGGAAAATGTATAGGGTTAGGGAGCAGACCTGTTATTTTTTTGATAGAGGGATCTTCCAGATGAGGAAACTTTCTCCATCAATGCAGGTTGGTACCTTCTCTCCGGCTTATCGTCTTAGACGATTGTCTGGGTCAATGAGAGCTTTAAATGTCTTTCCCTGAGTCATACAGCTAAGTTAAGTGTCTGAGGGCAGATTTGAACTCAGGAAAATGAGTCTTCCTGATTCTAGGCCTGCTCTGTGCACTATGGCGCCACCTAGCTTCTCTGTTTTCTGTCATATTTAGTACATTTGCATGGGGCACAAGGCTGAGAGGGACAAGCTGAGACATTAGATGACAAAGTCAGGGTCCAAAATATCTTGAGAGAAGAGAACATATGGTTAAATTTCTTAAGATGGAATTTAATAGAGACAAAAAATCCCAACCTTTTTGTTTCGTTAGACAAATTTGCTTTATAGGTACAAATTGGGCTAGACAGCAGTTTGTCTGAAAAAAGATCTGGTGGTTTCAGCGGAACACAAGCGCATTATGAGTCAGTGATTTGGCAGCCAAGAAAACTAATGCAATTGGTAGGTGCTGCATCCAGGATAAGGGAGGTCAAATCCTGCTGTCCTTTGCTTTGGTTACATCACATCTGGAGTCTTGCATTCAGTTCTAGGTGTCATGAGGACGTTGACAAGTCTGAAAGCGTCTGGGAAGAAGGCCTCCATGATGGCAAGAGGCACCCCACTCCACCCCACCCCAATCATGTCATAGGGATGATAATAATAGTAGCCAGTATTTAACGCTTTAAGGTTTGCAAAGCACTTTACAGATATTATCTCATTTGATATGACAAACCTGAGAGGTAGGAACAATTGTTTTCCCCATTTTACAGATGAGGAAACTGAGCAGGACAGAGGTTAAGTGACTTCCTTTGAGTCACACAGCTAGTAAGTGTCAGAGGCCAGATTTGAAGTTGGGTCTTCCTGATTCCACGTCTAGTGCTTTAACCATTGCACCACCCAGCTGCCTATATGGATGAAAGAATCAGAGAAGTTTAGCTTGCAGAAGAGGAGGTTTAGGGGAGCCATGATAGCTCATCTTCAAGTGTTTGAGGGGCCATCACATGGAAGACTGTCTTGTCTTCCATGGATAAAACTAAGAACAATGGGTTGAACATACAAAGAACTTGATGTAAGAGAGCTACCCCAAAGTGGATTGGGTCCCCTAGGGAAGGTAGGGGGTCCCTTTTATTGAGATTTTCAGGCAGAGGTTGGGTGACCACTTGTTGAGTATATTGTAGAGAGAATCCTTGTTCAGGGAAGCGATGGATTACATGGCCTGTGGGGTCCTTGCCAACTCATTATGTGATTCTATGAATTCGTTGAAGAGGAAATGAGGGACTATGGGGTCATCATAGGAGTGTGTGTGTGTTGTTATCTACCTGGTCCCAAGGAAGTTTTAATCATTCACTCCCCTCTTCCAACCCTGGAGCCTGCTGGGCACCAGCCCCTATCAGAGTGGACATTTCTCCCTGCCTTTCCTTGGGCTCTGGGTCAGATAATCTTCTCAGGAAAGATGGGGGCACCTGGATTAGTAAGACCTTAGAGGTTTGGGAGGGCTGCAGCCAGCCCCTGACCAGAGAGCATTGGTGTACTAGAATTCATTTAGGAGGCTGCTGTCTGCCCAGATACCCAGAGGAGGTTCTGTTGGAGGTACCCAGAATGAGAAAAATGGTGGTGAATGTCCTGAGGGTGTCTCTCCCTCTCTATCCACAAGAAGTTCCAGAGAGGGGACTGAGCTTTTGGGCATGTGGGTAGGGAGCCTGGCCTCTCCCCTGGCTGCCTGGGTGTGCTGAGCCCCTGTTCTAGGTCAACCTTCAGGTTATGGAATCAGAAACTTGGACCCTTTAGTGCTGAGTCAGGGGTCAAGTTTCCTAAGGTGCTGGGTCAGCCTGGAACAAAAGCTTACTTGATAGGTCCTGCCCCATCCTCTTTGATCACAGACCAAAGCAAGGGTAGTATGCCTGGATTGTTGCAGCCAACCTCAGGACACCCAGGATCTGAGTCTTGGATGACTTGACCACAATCCATTTAGAAACCTCTCTGAAATCTCTTCCACTGCCCTGAGGGAGACCTGGGGGGCCAGGCTGCTGGGGTGGGGGTGGGGCTCAACTATGACTGCCTAGCTCTGGCCAGCCAGACCCTCCGAGAAAATCTTTAAGAAGATTCCCTCCCTATCAGGGGCCAGCCCCAGTCATTCTGGAGTCTAGGGATTGGTTGGAGGAGGCGGCCAGGCTGGGGGCAGACAGTACTTGGAGGAGGGCTATACTGATGACCCTCAGCCCTGGGGTTCAGGTAGGTGTCTAGGATAGGGGAAGCTTGAGGATGGGGGAGGAGAACCACAAGAGGCACCACAGGAAGAGAAGCTTTCTGGAGACAGGGAGACTGTGAGTGAGTTTGGGAGCCTGGAGGGAGGGTAGAGCAGGGGAGGAAAAAGATGAAGAACTCGGTTCTGAGCTTGGTGTGTCTGAGGGATGGGAGGCTAACTTCTTGGATCTCTCTCAGCTTCCTTGATTTCCTCTTCCTCTTATACTTGTCTTCTCCTCCTTAGGGAACTCTTAGCCTGTTCTACCTTGTATCCCAAAGAAATCAGTGTCAGCTTGTAAATTAGGCATTTTATAACTATCTATGTCTATCTATCCATCTCAGTTAGGTATTGATTACAGCAGGTGGGGCTCTTCTGGACTAGATTGGACTGGGCTAAGTTCAGCTTTGTAGTGAATAGGTTCCCTACTCTATCCTCTCTGGTCCTTCAGCATCCAGAATGGGAATTATGTCTGGGCCTCAGGCCTCCAGGCAGGAGTGGGGAGCCTGGAATCCATCTCCAGCCCTTCTGACCCTTCCCCACCAACCCATACCGGGTCACCTCTAGGTCTAGCTGTGGGCATTATCTAATCTGCTGGGCTGGGGGACCATCCTGAAGACCTATCCTTAGAGGTAGTTCTTTTGGAAAACTCTGGACGAGTTCTCCCTTAGATCAAGTTCCATGTCACTGAAAACCAATCTCTATTCCTGGCTTCCTCTTGGACCTCAGAAAATTTCCACCTTGGTCAACTGGCTTGGAGTACAATTAAGAGTTTCAAGTGATGGGAAAACCCAATTCCTCCCATGGACCCTTGTTCGAATACACATAGAAAGTTGTCCCTATCCCCACTCCTGTCCTAGATTTTTGGTTTGGCATGAAATTATTAATGTGAGAAAATTCAGGTCAGTTCCATTCCAATTTAACATAGATGGATCATAGACTTGCTATGTTCTCAGGCTTATGGGGGCCACAGATATTAAATTCTTCCAAGGTATCCTGCCTTCAGAAGCTTGAAGCCTTCTTCAAATATTTGGAAGGCTGTCACATGGAAGAAGGAATATACTTGTTTGGCATGGCCCCTGTGGCCAGAACTCAGCAATGGGTAGAAGTAACAAAGGGGAAAACACAAGAACAAACACCCTAACAGAATTGTTCAGAACTCTACTTAGTGGACTGAGACATACGGCGTCTATTGTAATTGACTACGAGGGTGGGATGGAGGGGCAGGAGAGCTCTACCTTTGTGTCTGTAGGACCCACATCTCCTGATGCCCGGCCCTGTGATCTTTTCAATTCCTCCTTTTCTTTCCATTGCTGTTCTTCCTGGCACCTCTCCTCTTCTGTTTCTTACCCTCTCAAGGGCTGGGAGCTCTTCCAGCTTATAACAAAAGTCCTATGCCCCACTCTGCTAGCATGTTTCACAAATGGGGCTGACCCTTTAATTATAACAATAGCTATTATTTATATAGCACTTGGAAGTTTGCAAAAATGCTTCACAATTATTACCTCATTTTCCCTCATAACAACTCTGGGAGGTAGGTGTTTTATTATCCTCGTTTTATAGATAAGAAATTGAGACAGACAGCCATTAAGTGACTTGCCCTAGATCACACATCTAGTAAATTTCTGAAGCCATATTCTAACTCAGGATCCTTCTGACTCCAAGTCTGGCATTCTATCCATTGCTCCATCTAACTGTCTGCTTAGGCCAAACAGTGCCTCAAGAAAGAACTCCCCAACTAAATCTATGGGATCATAGATTTAGAACTGGAAGATACCTTAGAAGCCATTCAGTCCAACCCCCTCATTTTATAGATGAAGACATTGAGGTAAAGAGAGGTTAAGGTTATGCAGGGAGGATTTGAATACAGATCTTTCTAATTCCAAGACCAGCATTCTACCCACTATGGCATACTGCCCTTGGTTATCTCAAAAGGTTTCCCATGGATTTAGCTGTCCATGGTGCTACCCTGGGAACGATATATGGGACTTTGTAGACTCGGGATTGCTCTCTAGCTGATGGAAAAGTGTAGGAGCTGACTTGGGTCCACCAGAGAAGATTACTTGGGAATCTAGACAGTTATCATTCCAGGCATCTCAGAATCCTCTGTGGGGTTCCCAATTTTGTCAGCATCAGGTGACACAGAGTAGTTTAGAAGACCTCCTACAGGAGAGTAAGAAGCTTTAAAAAGAGAAATGTTTGTTCAGTTGAATTAATAATAGTGATAATCACCAGCATCACCAGCATCAACACTTACTACCCTATAAATGCGTACCTAATGAAACTAGGAAACTTGAAGAATCACTCCTTTTAAGTTACCATAGGTGTCGAGGAAGATGAGGAAAAAAGTGTTATTTTACAGCTGGTAATGGATCTTTCCCCCGTACTTGTTAGAATATGAAACTTTACTAAATGTCATATGTTGAACTAAACTGAATTAAAGGTGTTATTACATTAAGGAACTTAAGCTGACTTTTGCTCAGTTAAAGAAACTGGTGATGGGGGAAACTCATGAATGAGACACTTTGTAACCAGGTCAAGGGAAGGAACAGCCATTTCTGAACTTTTTGAGACATGGATCCCTCCTTTTTTATACTTGATTTTAATCTCAAGTTCAGAACATTCAGGTCCTAGCATATCACCCTGGACATAGGAAATGTTTAATAAATGTTTGTTGAATTGGATGGAATATAGGGGACTAGCAGGTAGGTCATTTTTAATAAGTTTGCTGGTATTTTTACCAGCTGGAAAAAAAAGTACTCATGATGATGATTGCCTCTTAGAACTCCAGATAGGTTTGACAGGCTAAAGTGATGGGCAACAGTCAATAATATGACGTAGTAACAAATGTAAGATCCTATTCTTGGATTCAAAAAATCAATGACACGACAAATCCAAGTGGAAGAAGCATCAGTAGTATTCATATGGTAATGGTTAAAAAAGCTAAGGATATATAACCTAGACCAAAGGGAGACACAATAGCTGTCTTTAAATTGTTGTGGTGCCAACATTGTTCTATATGGCCCCAGAGGGCAGAGCAAGGGGCACAGAGGTAGATTTTTGACTTAATGAAAGGAATCATTTGAAAAAATTTATTGCCGTCCAACAATAGAATGGTCTGCCTTATGTAACAGCGAGCCTTCTAATCCTGGGAAGGTTCACATAGACAAGTGAGATGATTATCTGTTAGGGATTCTGTTGAGTGAATTCCTTGTAGGGTAAGAAGTTGTGTTCCATGTGTTAAGAGTTTGGGACTAGATTATCTCTGAGAATCTACATTCTAAGGGTCCTTCTAGCTCTGAAATTCTATATTCTGTGTTCTGAGGTCTTTTCTAGCTCTGAAATTCAGTGTTCTAAGAGTCTGTGTTCTAAGGTTACTTCTATCTCCAATATTCAGTGTTCTAAAGTCTGTCCTAGCCCTGACATTCTGTATTTTAACATTGTATGTTCTAAGATTTGAAATTTGGTATTCTAGATGCTGTGTACCAGGGTCCCTCCCACTTCCAATATTCTATGTTCTAAAGTCCATCCTAGCCCTGACATTCTGTGTTATAAGGTTCCTTCCAGATCTAACATTCTATGCTCCAATGCCCCTTACAATTCCAATATTCTATGTTCTAAGGTCCCTTCCAATTCTAAGATTCTATGGTTCCCTTGGGGCTGGGCCATGTGACTTCTCTTTATGGCTTCTGTGTTGAAAGGGACAATCCATCTGCTTCTCAATCAGGCCTTAATGTTTTCTATATGGAAAACGGGGCAGCCGATGCGAGGCAGAAGAATCGAGCTATGTGTTACAGCTGGCCGGGAATGAACTTCTTTGGGCTGGGTAGGAGGAACTGCATGTTCATCTTGAGGTGCTTCAGAGGATTGAGGCGGTGGGCTGACTGAGGGGTGTTGGACCTTCCCTTCCCCTGCAGAGTTACACCCAGAGTGCGGCCTTCATTGTAACCCTGCACCCGCTGCAGAGCACGACCCCTGACTTCTGGCGCCTGGTCTATGATTACGGCTGCACTTCCATCGTCATGCTCAATCAGCTGAATCAGTCCAATTCTGCCTGGGTGAGTGTGTCTGTGGAGAGGGGTTAATTGATTTACCTCATGTCAAACAGCTAGTAGTTGTAGGAGTCAGGACTCGAACGCAGATCTTCTGATTACTAGTCTGTTACTCTTTTCATTGCTTCATACTACTTACTTTTCTTTGACCACAGAGTTTAGGGTTTCTCAGTTAGCCGAGTCTTAGAGGGAGGGTATTTATTGGTTTTGGGGTCCTTAAAGGGCCCACGGGGTGGAGGGGAGGAGAGCTGTGGAGTCTGCAAGCCAGAGAATATTGATCTCTCAGCCTGGTAAAGATGTCCCCAAGACTGAGCAGAAGGTAAGTTGGACCTTGAGGACAGAACTGGGCCAAAAGAATGTGAGGTGAGGGCACAACTCTCAGGCCAATGATCCCTCACTCCTGCTCAGTGGCATGGGGAGCCTTGGATCTGGGGAGGTGCCAGATGTGTGGGGAGGGCTTCTGAACAGAGGGAAGGGACCTTAGGACATGGGATGTTCAGTCCTTACCCACTGACACCAAAATGGATTGAAAAAAAACCCCAAAACTCCCACAGCCAACACAGTCCTGTTAACAAATCCATAACTAGGGTTCGGTGATCAGGGCTTTTCCCAGGGCTGAAATCTAGAGGGAATGTTGACAACTTTTTTAGTCCTTTAGAATTGTAGAATCCACTGAGTTTAGCATCTTATTAGCAAGAATAATTAGTTAATTTTTTCCCCCTGTTTTTTATGATAAGGGATGATTCTTTAGGTTGGGGAGGAAGTAGATATTTAGAAATAAAGGTGATATAAACCAAAAAGATATCAATAAAAATTTTTAAAAAGCACAATTATTTAGAATGAGACTCTAGCAGAGGGGCTTCATCCCCCATGTGGCCACACCCTGGATTAGCTCCTTGTCCTCTGTGTTCCTCCCTCCCCAGTGGTTTCCCCAGAAATGGCCTTCCATTGTCCTAAGTTCTTTACCATCTTCCTTCCTCTCTTCCTAACTGAACTCAGGGCATTTGGTATCACTTGCCGGGGGTGCAAAGGCTGCTGGATGTGACTCTGTTCACTAATTCCAATGGGAAGTGGGCTTTATATACAATTAAGTTCATGGGCTTTTAACAGATAGCAGAGGAGACTTCATTAACTGAGGGATTTTATGAGTTTCAGTTCACAGTGGCCTCCAGGCAGATGGAGTAATCTGGTTGTAGCTACCCAGGGCATGTGCTCTGCTTCTCTTGACCATCGATGCTACTAGGAATAGGGGAGGGCTCACAGAAGCGGGTGCTCCTGCCCCAGTCTGCAGAATTAGGGCTGCAGCCTGGGCTGGGGTGCTGATGTGATGAGATGGAGTCTAGGCTGACTCGGGAGCCAGGACACCAGCTTCAAGCACCAGGCTCTGGCTCTAACTGGCCATGCAATCCCTTGTAAATCCCTTTCTCCTCTTAGTGAAGGGTAAGGATTGTGCTTTGCTGAGAGGGGAATCAGAGAGCTTTTTACTTAGAACTTTTATTTCTCCCCGTTTGTCTGTGAGCTTCTTAACAGCAGAGACTGTTGTCTGCCTTTTTTTAATCCTCAGCACTTAGCACAGTGCCTGGCACATAGTTTATTAACTGACTGACCAGAGCAGGAAAGGACACACCAATGGTCATCTAGTCCTCTCTCCTTGAATTTTTAAAAAATTAAAAATATTTTTATTTCTATCTTTTGTTTTTCCATCACATTTGTTTCCATACATACCTCACTTCTCAGAGAGCCACCCCTTATGACGAAGAATAAAAAAAAGAGGAAAAAAAAGGTAGTTCAGGAAAGCTCATACTTTAACTGAGTCTGATGCTGTATGCAGCATTCCACACCCATAGCTCCCCACCTCTGCATGGAAGGGAGGGAAATACACTTTCTCCTCTCGCTTAGGCCATCCCCTTGCATGAACCTATGGCAATGCATTTGCTGGTGACTGACCTATGTTGCTGTGGTGACCCCACTTTGTCTTTGGTCCACCCCTAGGCCCCTGCCCAAATCATAGGATCATAGATTTAGAGCTTGTACAGAGCCCAGAGACCATTTAGTCCAACCTCATTTTACAGATGAGGAAATTGAGGCCCAGACAGTTTAAATCACTTGCCCAGGTTTGCACAGCTAGTCAGACAGGATTTGAATCCATGCCATCCTGATTTTAAGTCCAGTATAGTAGCCTCTCTGACTCCTGCCCTTGGGTTGATTGGTTTCTGGGGCTGAGTTGGATTGTCCATACCCCCTTATCCTCCATCCCCTGAGCCCAGCCCAGCCCAGGGATGTGACATCCGAGGCATCCATGGAATTGCACAGTCTTGTGTCTGGGCAAAGGCATGTGAGGGGTGGTAGGAGAGAAGCGAATCTTTCTCTCTTGGTACCTTTGTGTGTTTATCTATGCCTGGGGGCAGGGTGAATCTTTGGGCAGCTAGCTGTGTGTGTCTGTGCAAGGCTCGTGGGTTTGGCCTCCGTATATAGGCATGTGAGACAGTGGGTCCGTGTGCACTACTCTCTGTGAGAGTGTGAAGGTGTCAGGTTTCCTGTGTGTTGGCTGGAGCCGTGGGTCATTGTGTATCTGGCCTGTCTGTCTGGGTGCATCCTTGTATGTGTTTGTGTGTGTGTATGTTGGTGCACGTGTATAGACTGTGTTGGTGTGTATGGGGGAGTGTCACTGTGGCTCTGTGCATATGTGAGTAGGTGAGGCAGTTAGTTCACAAGCATTTATTAACGGCTCACAGTGTGCCACGCACTGTGTTAAGCTGTCAAGGATATTACAGTCTAATGACGGAGACATCATGCAAATAACCAGGTACATGCAAGATATATACAGGGGACACGTAAAGTAATCTCGGAAGGGAGGGCACCAGTAGCTGGGGGGGACCAGAAAAGAGCTCCTGAAGAAAAGAAGGTGTCTGTGTGTGTCGACATGGGCCACTGTGGGTGGGAGTGCTGAGCCCCTCACTCCCAATCTTCCTGCACCCCCCAGCCCTGTCCCCAGTATTGGCCAGAGCCTGGTCGCCAGCAGTACGGCCCTATGGACGTGGAGTTTGTGTCTGGCACAGCAGACGATGACCTCATCGCTCGCCTCTTCCGAGTTCAGAATCTTACTCGGGTAAGTGTGCCAGGGGTGTGTGTGCGCGTGTGTGTGCATGCATACAAGCAGGACTTAATTATCAACTAATTAAACTGAGAGGCATTAGGATTCTGGCTCCACAGATTGAATTCCTTGTGATTATCATAAATGTGCTCGAGGCCTGGCTGCTGGATTGGGGTTCTTTGTTCCCCAAGTCCTTCTGCTGCTCCCCTTTCCATGTCGTTGATGTGCTCCTGTCCCCTGCCTGTGACGTCCCTAGTGTCCTCCTCTCTCTCTGCCTTCAGTGCCCCCCATTTCCTAGCCTTGGGATACTGATGTCCTCTTGTCCTCTCCACATTCAATGGGTCTCATCCTCCTGTCCCCCCAGCCCCTGCCCTTTGTGTCCTTTGCCCCTTAATGCTGAAGACTGCCCCCCACCCCATTCTTCTGATACTGAGGTATCCTTGTTCTCTTGACCTCCGGGTCCTCTAGGTCTGATGTCTCCTCAATCTCTTACCTTTAATTTATCTCATCTCCCTGACCCCCATATCACTCAGTCCCTGATGGTCTCCATCCTTTTCCCCTTGATGCCTTACACCCTGATGTCCTCCCTGATTCTGATGTTCCCCATGTTCCTGCCCACAATGTCCCCTCATCACTGATGCCCCATCCCCTGGTCCCCAGTGTCCCTTTGATTATCCCTCTGTCATGGACGCTCCCCATCTGCCTGCCCCCTCTGTCCTCCCTGACCCCTGCCCTTGCCCTCCCTAGCTGCAGGAAGGACATCTGCTGGTACGACACTTTCAGTTTCTGCGCTGGTCCGCGTACCGGGACACACCTGACTCCAAGAAGGCCTTCCTGCACTTGCTGGCCGAGGTGGAGAAATGGCAGGCTGAGAGTGGGGAGGGGCGGACCATCGTGCATTGCCTGTGAGTGACCTCAGGGGCTGGAGGGGCTGGGCACTGAAAACCAGGGGCCCACTGGGAAGTGGCATGTACTAGAACTCTGGGCCAGAGGCGGGGTTGAGGGCGGTGCCTGCAGAGCTCTTGACTGGGCCTCAGGACCTCTCTCTGGGGCCATGTGAACTGGCCCTAGGGAGGCCCTGGGGCTGAGTCCTCTGCCACTTAATCCCTGGGAGACCTTGGTCTCTGGGCCTCAGTTTCCTCATCTGTTAGATAAGGGGGCTGGGCAAGCTGGCCCCCGGAGTCCTTTCTAGCTCGAAAGTTCGGACACACAGATAAATCATGTGTCAGGCTCTTCTATTCGGCTGAGCCAACAAAAATGTTTCACCAACAGTATGTGCTGACCTCTTTAACCACTGCCTCCCCCCCTCAGCCTGGGGGTGCTGCATCAGCCTCTTTCATAGCAGGGCCTGTCTAAGGGCACTGAGGGGGACAGGAGGGGGGAAGTTAAGAGACAGGGAAAAATGCCAGTTCACCAGGGGTATATGCTTGGAGGTATGATGGAGAGGGTTCCTTCTGTGGGGCCCCAAATCCTACAGAATTCCCACCTTCCCCTAAGGCAAGAATTCTTAACCTGAAATCCATAGACCAAGATTTTAGAGGGTCTGTAAACTTGGATGGGAAAGCAATTACATGTTTATATTCACTAAGCCTAATTAAAATTTAGCATTTCCTTCAATTAAAAAAAAGAACAACATTCTGAGAAGGGGTCTATATGCTTCACTAGACTGCCAAAGGGGGCTAGGACACAACAAAAGGTTGTGAAAATCTTGTCTGGGGAGTCACCTACATGACCCAGGCAGGACAGATGCTCAGCTAGCTGAAGACAGGCCCTAAGAATTGGATCTCTGTCCTCATACCCAACAACATTCCTGGTTGCCATGGAGGTGGGGAGAAGCTTTCCTGGTGGGCTCTAGTCTTCTGGCCACCTTGGGACAACTATCCTGCCTTGGCCTAGGTAGATTGGCTTGCTCACTTTAGCTTGGTGCTAGCAGGTGGCTGAGTGTCAGCGTTGTGGTAGAGAGAGGAGTGGGAGGGAGGATTCTCTAGAATGAGAAGCTCAAATAGCAGTTACTTGGGTTCCCCTCATTCTGTACAACTGCCACCCTTTGGAAAATCAAAGCTCTGATGGGACTCCTCATCTGGGAAGGAGATGGAGAGGCCATAGACTATCCCTGAGAAAGATGGGACATTGTGGCTGAGGGAGTGAGCACGACCCAGACATGCACATGTACGCCTGCTACTCACTGATTCCTCTCTACCTCTCAGCAAACATTTATTAAGCACCTACTATGTGTCAAGTACTTTGCTACACCCTGGTGATACAAGGAGAAAGATGAAATAGTTCCTGTCCTCAAGTAGCTTATAGTCTACTGTGTATACACACACACACACACACACACACACACACACACACACACACACACTTACCCAACCTATGATTTTATTGATGTAGGAATCTCCTGGTAAGGAACTCCTGCTACCAATTAATTCTAATCCTTTCCTTCTTTTGATTATTTGATTAATTTGTTCTGTCAATGGCTTTTTTGTACCTAGTCATTTGCATGTTGTCCCCCCATAGACTGAGCTCCTTGACGTAGAGACTGTCTTTTGCCTTTCCTAGTATCCCCCATGCTTAGGACGTAGTAGGAGCTTAATAAATGTTTATCGACTGACTGATTTGCTGACCATTGTAGATGGGCATCTGTTCTGCATCTTGGAGTCTTTGGTGCCAGAGGCACTGACAAGTTAGGTGCCTTTCTCAGGGTGACACGGCTGGTATGTCAGGACTTGAACCCAGGTCTTCCTGACTCCAAGGTCAGCTTCTCTGTTCACTATGCCGTACTGCCTCTGCACATATAAATAAATGCAAGACAATTAGAGGAAAGAGCGACCATGGTGAGTGGGATGGGGTGATGGTGGTGGTCAGGAAAGACCTCTTCTAGGATGTGGCACTTGAGTTGGACTCTGAAGAAGCTGATGATTGAGGAGGGAGAGCCTTCCAGGTGTGGGCCATGCTCTGGGTTGCTCTCTTTATGTGCGGGTCTTTTTCTTTCTGTGTGTCTCTCTGAGATTTCTGGCTAGCTCTGTTTCTCCATCTCCCGTCTCTGTCTTTGGGTATCTCTGTCTCTGTTCCTCTGGGTATCTCTGGGGACCTTACCCCTCAAAAGCTGGGCTTTCCCCTCTTGACAGGAATGGAGGTGGTCGCAGTGGCACCTTCTGCGCCTCCACCACGGTCCTGGAGATGATTCGCTGCCATAACCTGGTGGATGTTTTCTTTGCTGCCAAGATGTTGCGTAACTACAAGCCCAACATGGTGGAAACTCTGGTGAGTGGGCCTCCTTGTGCCTGGGGCCCTGTCCTTCCTGTAGCCAGGACCCTATTCATTTCAACCCAAGTGTTCCATCCATACCTTGTGCCCAACATATTGTCTATTCTACATCCTATGTCCGTCTATACCGCCTTCCCAGAGCCCTGTCCTTTCCATAAATGATGCCTTACCCCTGTGCCTAACATACCAAGCACCCTATCCATTCCGTTCTCAATATTCTATAACATACGCCTAGCATCCATCCATTCTGGTACCCCATGCCCAGCATCTCATCTGTGCCTAATGCCATGTCTATTCTATTCCTAACACTTCATTCACACTCCATGACTGTTCTATAACCATGCTTAGCATCCCATCCATTTCATGTCCCATTGCCCATCTTTACCCCATACTCAATGCCTTGTCCCTTTCATACCTCATGCCTGCTCTCCTATTCATTCTGCCATGCCAAGTCCAGCATCCTCTCTATTACATGCTTACCCCATGCTGGGGGCCCTTCTTCTATACCCTGTGTTCATTCTAGCCCCCACCTTCTTCCATACTACATTCCTGATGCCATGCCCATGCCGAGGAGCTTGTCTGTTCTCTATCTCATGTTAAGTGTCCCATCCGTGCCCAGCATTGTGTCTATTTCATGCTCAGCACCCTTTCTGTATCTTCTGCCCAGTGCCCATCCATTGTACATTCTATGGCCAGCATCTCATCAGTGCCTAACGCCCAGTCCACTTCATTCCTGATGTCCACCGTTCAGTCCATTTCATATCATTATAAATTCTATGCCAAATTCCCTGTTGGCTCCAAACCGAGTGCCCCCATGATTAGAGTCTATTTAATACCCTGTTCCCAGTATCCCATCCATTTTATGCATCATCCCACCCGTACTCCATTTTCAATCCCTGTCCATTATATATCCCATGCCCAGAATCCCGTCCGTGTTCAATGCCCTGTTCATTCCATAGTCAGTACTCTGTAATTTGTCATCAGTGCCCATCCATTCTATATTCTATATGCAGGGATCTGTTTATACTTTACCCAATGTCCACCATCCTGTTAATTCCATACCCTGTTCTTGTGGCACTTCTGTTCCCTATCCCATACTCAGTATCTCATCTGTGCTCAGTGTCCTCTCCATTCGATGCTAGCATTTAGTTCATCCCATACTCCCTGCCCAATGCTTATCATCTGTTCCATTTACTGTGCCCAGTATAGCATCCCTATCCCAATGCCCAGTGCCCATTCATTCTATAGCCTATGCTCAGAGTCTAGCATCTAGAGTATGGTTAATGTCCCCAGACTTATCCCTTGTCTGTCCTTGGGTGGCATCTCACAGCGTAGTGACTGAGAACTCTAGGATTGTCAGGCTTCTTATCTCAGCCTTATTAAGAAAGCTTCCCATCCTGATCTCTTTTCCCTGGGACAGTGATATGTTGGGGAATGGAGTATGCAGGTAAATGGGCAGAAAAGACCCTGATAATAACTCACCACTTCTTCCTCCCTCTCTCCCTCCTTCCCTTACAGGAGCAGTACCATTTCTGCTATGATGTGGCCCTGGAATACCTGGAATCATTGGAGACCAGATAGCGTGAGACGTGCTAAGTCTTGGAGGGGAGGGGGCTCATCCCCCAGGGGCTGGCCCTCCCATCACCTGCCGTCCCACCTACAAGTGAGAACCGTGACATGAGGGGATGACCTGCTCGCCCATTTGCCTGCCCTAGGTCACCCTGGCTCTGACACCATCCTGTCCCCTCCCCTCTTAGGCATAGCTCCCATTCAGTGGCCCTTGGAGGAGTGTGAGGGGGAGGCCCTGTAGATAGGATGTGGCACTATGCTGAACTGGGGTTTTCTCTAGGTCAGTCCTGGTACCTGGGAAGGTTTTAGGGACCAAATGGAGGGGGCAGCTGGGGATGGGGCCTCCCAGCTCCATTCTGGCTCACATGGGCTTAGGAAAAGGCCTTCAGGGCTGTTAGGATGGGACCGCAGAGCAAAGAGTGGGCATACCAGGATGGCTTTTTCAGATCCCGGAGGGGATAGGGGTTTGTTAGCTACGGCTACTTTGCCCTGAGATCGAGTCTTTGAGCCCACGATGGAGCCGGGCAGCCCTTGACTGAGAGAGAATTTAGATCATCAGGAAAGGGCCTTGGAGAGGTTGTAGCTGTCTGAGTCCTTCTGGGCTGGGGAGTACAAAGGGAAGAAGACTGATTTAAGGCTGGTGAATGGGTGGGGCTCGGGAGTCTAGCCAGGGAGTCTGTTCGGAGGAGACAGTCCTAGCTGTGACTTCCCAGTCAGGGGTAGTAGTACCCATTGGTCTTTTCTACCAGGGACTTGGCGGGCTGTAATGAGTGAGTGCTAACCTTTTCCTTGTGTCTGAGAGGTCACACCCTCTCCTCCTTGACCTCCAGTGACCAGTCAGCCCATCTGGCACTGATCTACCCCCTTCACCCACCCAGGCCAGTTTATTTCATTGGGTTGCTCATCTCCTGCATCCCCCAGAATGCTTTTTCATGACCCAAGTGGTACTGGCCCTCTAGCCCCAAACTCTTCTCTGAACCAGATGCCAGATGCCAGATGCCTGAACCAGGGGGTGCCGAGAGCTCCCCAACCAGTTTCCCCTCACCCCACTATCCCCAGCCCACCGTGTTCTGAGAATGAAACTGATTCATTACCCTCTCCTCGCTCCTCCTTCACTCAGAGTTTCGTCCTCGCTGGCCTAGCCAGGCCCAGCCCAGGCGCGTGACAATCTGTAAAGCTGAACTATAGACCACCATGGGGAATGGGGAGTCCGTGGACCCCTGGTGGGTGCCTCCTGAGGGTAGAGGGAAACACCAGCGTGTGCTGGAGCACCAGAACATTGGTGTTTACTTGCATGTCTGGGTGACTCCAGGAGCAAGGATGCATATGTTTCTTTTCTTTTCTTTTGCGGATGGGGCAAGAAAGATCTTTTCACAATGGGGCAGGCCACATCCCCATTCTGTGCCTCAGTTTTCCCATCTGTAAACTGTAGATATGACTTACTGACCTACCTCGCAAGGGGCTGTGGGGAGTCACAAGCTGATGTTTGTAAATCGCTTTGTAAATAAAAGAGCTCTCTGAATGCCATGGATTGGATCTGTGTGTGCCTGCCTTTCCTACTTTATGATGCCGGGAGGTTATGGTGATTTGTTGGAAAAATTGTTGAATTTAGAAGTTGGGGGATTTGGATTTGAACATGATTATGCTACTGTGTGACCTTGGGCCTCAAGTTTCCTCATCTGTAAAATGGGCAGCATGCATTAACTCCTACTTCTAAGTTTTGAACATATGAGTCTATGATTTCAGTGGGGTATTGGGAGGTCAGCTGTTAACCAAAGATCCAAACATCTGGTCCTATAGCTAGACATTTCTCCTAATTACCAGTCCTAGAGCTCTATAGGCCAGGGAAGGGGTACCGAAGGTCATCCCAGATTCCAGCTCATGGTGAGTCTTTGGCTCTGAGTAGTTAAGATGGAGCCTATTGAGGACATGGCCCCTTTGAGGACTTCAATCATGGCTTGGAACCTTGGAGATGATGCCTGATATGGGGGAGCTCCAATGTTGCACTTTATCATTGATAATTCTCCCACCATGTATCCTTCATAGGAAGGGACTGCCTGGTATGGCCTTCTACCCCCGTGCCAGTTTTTTTTTCTTGGCATTTCTCCTGAATGGTTTCACATTAGGGAGCAGGTGGAGGGGGCATGGAGGAGAGTCAGAGCTGCAGAATGAACCTGAGGGCAGCCTCATCTCCTGAATTGGCACCCATGGACTGGCACCTTCCATCTGAGGTCCCTGCTCTGCCAGAGACACCAAGACAAGACCTTTCTTCTTAGGACTGATGGAAAAGCACACTCCCAACATAGCATGTCTGACCAGCAGACACTGTAGGGACACAGATCCTCTCCAGCTCTGTCTCATGAGGTCTCAGAGCTGAAACGAACATCAGAAACATTTGAATCTAGTTCTTTTGGCCACAGCAACTCGTGAAGACTTTATTCTAAGAATGGAGGGGTTGAGATTTGTGCTGATGCCATTCATGTTGATATTATGCTGACCCCAATAAAAGCATGCGTCTCTGAAGTACGGTTCTATCTAGGTTGGTCATGAGGGGGTTAAAGGAGCTAATGAGTCCGGCAGCATCCAGAGTGGACCTTTCATGCTGGATACTTCTGCTCAGCTGCTCAAGTTCAGCCTGATTTTTGCCTGGACCTTAAAAAATTATTTTATATTTTTCAATGAACAAAAATCCATTTTCTTTCTCATTTCCCCATGAGAGAAAAAGAAAAAAAACCTTTATAGTAAGTCTTCTCAGAACTCCTTCCATAATTTCTTTCTTTTCTTTAGGCAATTAGGGTTAAGTGACTTGCCCAGGGTCACATATCTAGTAAGTGTCAAGTGTTTGGTCTGAGGTCACATTTGAACTCAGGTCCAGTGCTCTATCCACTGCACCACCTAGCTGCCCCCTTCCATAATTTCTTACAGGGCAATAGTCTTGTAATTCATATGCCATGCCTTGTTCAGCCATTCCCCAAATATTGGGCACCCCTCCCCACTTACTTTCTAGTTCTTTGATACCACAAAAAGAGTTTCTTTCTGTACTTTCGTATCTAAAAAACAGTGTATTATAGTAGATAGAGAACCAACCTTGGAGTCAGGAAGACCTGGGTTCAAGTATGGCTTCTGACAAGTCACTTAACCTCTGAATGCACCCCCTAGAGGACCTGAGTTCAAATCTCAGCTCTTCCACATGCTTTCTTTGTAACCTGAGGCAAGCCACTTAGCATCTTTGGGCCTCAGCTTCCTCATCTTTAAAATGGGAAGAGGGGTTTGGACTCAATGACTTCTAAGGGCCTTTCCAGCCTGAAAATATACAATCCATGTGACTACACATTATGAGGAGTTGCCAACTTGTATTGGTGGAGGGAATTTCCATGCTGAGAGTTCCCTACATCATGAATCATAAGACTAGAGGAAAAACTCTTCTATTTGTCTGTTCATCCTCATTCTACTTCAGTTGCTTCATTGGTCAAATACGGATATTTTTGCCACACTTCTCACAAGCCATGAAAAATTACTGTGCTTCTATGCTAGGTTCTATGGGGAACGCAGGAGATTTCAGACGAAATCCTTATTCTCAGTCTTGATGGGGAGTCAGAACTCATCTATATGAAACAGGGACTGGAAAATAACAGCATATAGTGAAAGTATAAGGGATGATATGTAGAAAGTAGCAGCTGTTAGAAGCCAATGAAAAGGCAAATTTACTTGGGTAGGGCTTGAAGGGAATAGGAAGAAAGGAAGGAAACAAGCGTTTATTAAGTGCCTATTATGTACCAAGTGCTGTGTTAAGCACTTTACAAATATCTCATTTGCTCCTCATGACAGGAGAGGGATATTATTATTACCTTCATTTTACACTGGAGGAAATCGAAGCAAGCAGAGGTTAAATGTCTTGCCCGCTTTCCCAACTGGTAAGTATCTGAAGCCAGACTGGAACTTGGGTCTTCTTGACAGTGCTCAGCACTGTATCTGCTGTGCCACTGAATTGCCTCTAGGCAGTTAGGATTTGCATTGATAGAGAATGGGACCCCTCTTAGCTGTAGTGGTGGTGATGGGGAGTAGGGGAGATATTTCTGGTTACAACCAACTTGTAAGGGGCTGAAAGGATGGCTTTGTTCCCTCCCTGGGATGCCAAGCTGTCTAAAGAGGCCTCCTAGGATGCATTCTTTGCACTAGTAACATCTGCCCTGGAATGGGGGGTGTTTACCTCCTTACCTTTATGTACCAGTATTCCAAAGAGCTGGTGTATCTTTCTGTTCCATGTGCAGACATGGGGACCTTGGGTCTATTCACACTTCAACCCTCTGGCCACAGAGAGTCACGATTGAATGGTGATGGTCTGGCTTAGCTTTTGTCGTTGTTCAGTTGTTTTTGACTTTTCATGACCCCATTTGGGGTTTTCTTGGCAAAGATACTTCAGTGCTTTGCCATTTTCTCCTCCAGCTCATTTTACAGATGAGGAAAGTGACGCAAATAAGGTTAAGTGACTTGTCCATGGTCACACAACTAGGAAATGTCTGAGGCTGGATTTGAACTCAGCCTCCAGGCTCAGTGCTCTTTGTTCTATGGCACCAGCTAGTTTCTTTTGGGGTATGATGAAGGGGAGAGGAATCAGAATAATTCCTTCAATACTAGTTCCTGGGTAGTATAAAGCAGCTGGAGGGCATAGTGCATTAAGGAGTGGAACTGGCATCAGGAAAATCTGAGTTCAAATCCTGCCTGACCCTAGTGCTATGATCTTATGCAAGTCCTGCAATTTCTTTTAGCCTCAGATTCCTCATCTATAAAGTGGGGATATTAACAATGCCTACCTTACCGGTTTGTTGTGAGGAGTAAATAAGAGAACATAAGGAAAGTGTTCTGCAAATCTTAAAGGGCTATCTCAATGCTATTCTTATGATAGATTACTATATGACACACACACACACACACACACACACACACACATATATACATATAATTATAGGGCAGTTAGGTAGTGCCATAGTGGATGGATGGAGCACTAGGCCTGGAATCAGGAAGACTCATCTTCCTGAGTTCAAATCTGGCCTTACATACTAGCTGTGTGACCCAGGGCAGTCACTTAACCCTGTTTGCCTCAGTTTCCTCATCTGTAAAATGAACTAGAGAAGAAAATGGTGAAGCACTGCAGTATCTTTTCCAAGAAAACCCCAAATGAGGCCACAAAGAGTCAGACACAATAGAAAACAACTAAAATTGTTTTAATAAAGTGTTCAGGCCATGCTTGCTTCACTCTCAGTTCCATTTCTCACTCTCCTGACTTCTCCACCTCCCTCCCAGAAGAAGGAGAAGCTTCTGCTCTATGGCCCTCTTTTCTGATTGGTGAATTCCTGGCCTGGACCATAACTCCCAGCTCTACTTCTTACCCTCTAGATTTAATCTCCCTGCTAGCACCTGGCTGGCCTCATTGCAGTTATCCTCTCCCATCCCCTGGCTTTCTAGATCCTCTTTATGTTTTGTTTTCCTCCTTTAAAATGTAAGCTTCTTGAAAGTAGGTACTCTATTTTTTGCTTGTATTAGTATGCTTGGCACTTTGCACAATTTCTGGAACATAATAAGTTCTTAATTAATGTTCAATCTATCTATCTCACTCTATCTGTCTATCTTCCTCTGTTTATCATCTATCTACCTATCTATTTAACTGTCTGCCTGTCTGTCTGTCTGTATCACCATCTATCCATCCATCTATATCCGTTCATCCATTTATAGTCATCCATCCATCTATTGACATCCATCCATCCATATATCTATCTATATCTGTCCAGTCATCTATGTATATCTATCTATGTTTATCATGTATCATCTCTCTATCTACTGATCTCCTTCCTGAAGTCCATGAAGGAAGGACCCTGTTGTGTTTGTCTGATCCAGAAGATTGCAACTTGAGAGCCAGCAAGATACATTGGGAAGAGCATAGGATTTAGAGTCAAAGGTTTCAGAACCTGGCCCTGCTAACATTTACCTATATTACTTTCAGCAAGTCACTTAACTCCTGTGGGCCTGATTCTTCATCCATAAAATGAGTGGAATTAGATGAGGTGATGTCTGAGGTCCCGTCCAGCTCAACATCTATGATTCGATGATCCTGCCATAATTAAGGCCATCCCATGGAACATGTCCAGAGTTGCCTTTCCCGGTTCTGGATGACGTCTTATGGCTTAGCCCTTAGCCCCTTGGGGGATGATGACCTGCTGGGCTACTTTTGGTCAAATGGTGGTTCAGTGCTGAAGGATATGGGTGATTTGGAATGATGAAGCACACTTCCTTCCATCATTGGCTGCTGGTTCAGGGTAGCTGATGACTTCACAGACTTTTAAAAAGAAGAGACTGTTTACAGGTCGTTGTCTTGCTTAGCCTCTCCTTGGTGGAGAGTAGTACGCTTATTCTATAGCCTTTCAGTGAGGAGTTGGGGGACAGGTGGTGATCCCTCCTTCCATCCTATTACAGCTCCCACATGGAGCATAGATTCAACCAGTTGAGCTTGTGCCTGAGGTCCTGGCTGCCTTTTCTAC